TAGCTGTTGTACTTTACTTCCAAGTTACTTTAGTAGTCATTCATAGAGGGGAGCTCTGATGGCATATTCATGAGAGCTAATCCAAAAGCTAAATGTCTCTGGTGGTCCAAATTCCCCAGAGGCTTGTGGGGAAAAGGGAGGCAATCTCCTGTGGGATTTATAGCCTCAGAAACTCAGTTATGAGTCAGTTCCCACTGATGGCAATGAGATTGGTTAGCCACAGACAATATGTAAACAAATCACAGCAATATTCCAATAAAATTAACTGCATCAAAAAAGGTAACTGTTTTCTTAATGTATATTTGTTTCCTACTTTTGTCCCTAGATGATACATATGGTTTACAAGCTAAGCTGCAAACTTAAAGGGTGGAGGTTTGAATCCACCCAGAGGTACCTCTGAAGAAATGTCTGACAATCTACTTCTGAAAAATGAGTCAGGTGGCCCTGAGCTCCAGACTGACTGAGGGGTCCTGGGCCTCTGGGGAGCCATTGCAGTGTCAGCCAGCACTTGTAAACAAGATCACTGGAAGTCCTCAAGGCAGGAGTGCCGCAGCTGCAGAACAAGTGAGCTGCAGGACAAGTCAGTGTGGGAGGTGACTGAGAGGTGGATATGACTGTCCTCTTGCTGGGCAGAGGCAGCTTCTAGATGCTCCAGAGCTGCACGGCTCCTGGGCTGAGAATTTAGACAAGAAGTGCATCATGCAGAACTGCAGGCTCATGCACAGAAGCAGTCCCAGGTCTGACTACCACAGTCACTGCGTGTGGAGCCTTGGCTGCAAAACTGGCAACTGGCTACTGCAGCATTGGGCACGAGCGGGCTCAGCCCACCCCTGGGAGGAGCAGCTGTACCAGATACTGCAGGAGGCCCCACAGAAGCTCAGTGGAGGAGTCTCACAAAGGAGGCAATGAGGACAGCAAGGTCTAGCTCATGGGCCAGCGGTAGAAGCTCTAGGCCTTCCTCCTGTGATCCCAGCCCGGTCACCTCAGGCACCAGGTCACCATGTACAATACTGTCCTGTTGGGCTGGGCCTGAAAGTCTCAGAAAACTCTGAGAAAACGGAGAGGAACAGCCAGAAGTCGGTTCCAACTCTAAGGTACATAGCAAGAGTCAACAAGAAATCTGGAAGACAGCTGACTGACCAGATGACTGTAAGACATACAACAGTAGAGCTCATTCCAAGGAAAAGTGATCTAGCAGTATGAAAATTATTAAGAATGGAAATCCCAGAATACTTAATTGTATGCATGCAAAACCTATAGCCCAAGAAGATGCTGTGTGAACAGATTGAAGGAATACTGTACACGAAAAAAAATGTGTGCAGAGTTGTATCTGTTCTATATACCTATTCAATCTGTATGCTGAGCAAATCTTTAGAGAAGCTGGACTTTTTTTTTTTTTTAAATAGCGGATGTCTTTATTTTTGGCTTGCAGTACTCACTTACTTTCAAAAATTATTTTATTAAATGCTTATAAATCTTATTGGTGGACTTAGGACCTATTAAAGAAGAATCTTATTACAATAAATACACAAGACACAGAAAGGGAGGAAAAATGAGTCACTGAAAACCATGTAACATGGGGTCACTATGAATGAGATTCAATTGGACAGCTAACGTTGCTCCCTCACCCTGACACCACTTTTGCCAAATCTACCTCAAGGTTTTGCTTTCTTATTTCTACACATCTTCAAGCCTACTACTTAACCCAACAAGCGGGATAGCACTTCTTGGAAACGGAACAGTAATTTTTGCTTCATATGGGGCTTACTTTTCTGCCCTCCATTATGATAATTTGTATATGTCAGTTATTCATCATATTCAAGTGTAAGAACTTTGAAAACAACAGATCTGAACCTTGCCCTATCCTGCACCATTTTCACCATCTCTGATTCTATCAGCTATTCAGTGCTCTTCTCCAAGATCACACCTCAAAGGTATTGCTTCTTTTGTCATCTTCTGCTGAGATTGCCACCTCTGGAAGCTACAGGTCAGTTTATTCTGTTCTAAAGGATCACTAGGAGTCAGAATCAAATCAGTGCCATGGGGTTTGGTTTAGATTCAGGTAATAAGCAATTTAAAACAAAGTTCATCTCAAATTCTTAATAAATACATAAATCCAGGAGATGCAGGAAAAAAACCCTCAAATTACAAACAGCATCTTGGATAAAAGAATGTTTGAGATTTAAAGAAAAAAACAAAACCCAACCAAAACCAAAACTCAGTATTCAGATGTTTCAGTGCTTGACCAGTGTTATTTAACCAGTTCATTTATTTTGGCAGACTCTGACCAGAACTTCTACAATAGGTTACAGTTTTAATACTTAGATTCCATCATTGCTTTAAAACAGTCAGCCGTCCCTGCTTTAGCCAACTAAATCTGCAAAATAAACATAAGCAACCAGTAGTCCTATTCATTAATTTGGTAGAGAAATTATTTGCTTATTATGTTTATTTATCAGGTTGCTATAAACTGCACAGGAGGAACTGGCCCACCTTTCTCTGCCCATCTCTCTTCTAAGGATCTTTTTCCTGAATTAGATTTGAACTACTTGCTTTTGGGTTAGGTCACTAGGGCTTCCTTGTACAAGGTTGTTCTTATGTGCTTTTGTGTTGGAAATGACCCATAGTTGACACTCCCAGCAGGTTTTCAGAGGCTTTGAATTGCACAGGAGGTGATAGCCTGTCTTTCTCTTGAGTAGTTGGTGGATTTGAACTCCGTGCCTTGAGGTTGGCCATGCTCATTATTACTAGGCCACCAGAGCTGATTCACATTTACCCAAGGCAGCAAGGGACAGGATAAAAGGATTAATGGAAAAGATAATTGTTGGAAAGGTGTGGGAAGAATGAGATTGTATTGTGAGTATTGTAACTAATGTTATAAAACAAAATTATCATGATTGGTTGGACAGAAAATCCCGTTTGTTTTGTAAACTTTCATTCAAACCACAGCAAAAACAAAAAGTTTTTCCAAACATCCTTACAAATGGACCACAAGGCAATAATCATAAGTGGACTGAGGTCCTCAAGGGGTTCATTTTACTTGGTTCCACAAACACACATGGAAGAAGTAGCCAAAAAATCAAAACAACAAAAGTTCAAATCTTCTTAACAAAGTCCAGGTGATCTGCTTCCATAAAGATTATGGCCAAGAAAATTTTATAAGCTGCTCAACATGAGGTTGCCATGAGTCAGAAGGAACTCAATAGCAACTGGTTTTCTTAGGGGAAAGAAATGGTTAACATGCTGTAACTAACCAAAAGGTTAAAAGTTAAGCCCACAGAGGTGCCTCAGAAGACCTGAAGACCGAGTTTTGAAAAACCAGTCACTGAAAACTTGAAGCAGTTTTCTCATCACACACGCAGGGTTATGGGAATTGGAACTGACTCAACTGCAATTTTTGTTGATGTCGCCCGGTATCATAGAGTCCTGATGGACTCATAGCTGACCCTCTAACGGGTTTTTCAGAGGCAGTAAAGAGCACGGAAGGAGAATGCTCATCCTCCTGAAGCAGCGTGCCTTTGGGATTGCAGTGCAGACTTACCATTAAGCCACCAGAACTTTCTTTCAAAGGGTGAAGAAAGCATAATGTCCTGACACAAAAGATAAAGATGTATAAGGCTGTCCCAAGTCGTTAATTAAAACTGTCTCTGCTGCATGGGAAATGCTAAGAGGTAAGAAGTTCCATGGAAGACGTTCTAATCATTCCAGTTTCAAATAATCAGATTAAAATATTCAAGTAACACACTAGTAGTAGGGACGGCCCTATCTAAAAGAACTCTTGTGAAAAAATGGATGCTATTTGAGGACGATATTTTCCTACAAAGTAGTCATGACAGGCCCACCTGAGATTGTTCTAAGATTTTAACCAGGCTTGTGTAAGGTACAGGGAGGGTGGAACTGAAGGCAGAGATGTTGATTTAAGACTGTTGCAAGAACACTAAGCTAAACCCAGGCCAAGGCTGGGACTGGGTATTTCCAGTCTTCGCTCGTCCACTTCTACAGCATTTCATCTGTCAGTGAAATCTACGGATACCAGAAAGGGGGCTCCCCTCATAGTGTACACAACATAATCGAGCAACAATATCCTTAAAAGTACCGAGTGTTAAAGACTGCTACAGCTCTTTTTTATCATCAGTTTACTAAATTCTGAGTCAAGAGTCTACGGATCTAACCCAGGTCTGCCCTTTACTCTGCGTGACCTCAGGTTACTCACTCACTCGAATGCTTGATTCCTCTGTTTGTCTATCAGTAAACCCCGAGATTACGAGAGTTAAGATTGAATTCAATGACCTTTAAATCTAAAGCCGGTACACTGAAACACTGGACAAAAAGACCACCAAATAAATAGAGAAGGAGATGATCAGGCTCGTTTTATAGACATCGAGCATGCTGACCAAGGTCACTCCAGCCACGCCACAAAGCAGGGATTAGGCCAGGAACACTGGTCTCCAAGGTTCCAGTCCTGGGCCCTTTCTCCTTTTGCCGAGCTAGTAAGAGTGGCAAGGAGCGTTCTTGTCCTAGAGAGGAAAGGATAAGGGTTCCCTGTATGGTTGCTCAGGGAGGCAACTTACCTTCCCAGGTGCAGTCCTTCCACTGGCGCCTCGTGACAGAAACTTCGCCTGTAAGCCCCTCACTACTTCTCAGAAGCCCCTCGCACCTCGTTCTGGAGCGACGTGTCGACTGCCGCCACCGAGGCCACAGATTCCCGCCCCGGCCACGCCCCCTTCCCTGTTGACCAATCCCTATGTAAGATTTTGGAGCTCCACCGCCTCTCAGGCTTGGGAGAGCCTTGCGTCACGCAGCGTGCGTGCCCTCGAGGTCCCCTCATTTGCCTTTGCCCCACCTTCTCCCGAACCCGGGCTCCACCTCTCTAAGCAACTCTGCGACAGTTCGCGCTGCCGGAAAGCAACACGCCACTACTGCATTTTACCATGACGGCTGTCACAGGCCTTTGAAAACTCAAGGCTGTCTGTCTTCTCAGTTCGGCGAAAGTTAGCGCAATGTTCGGTGCCAGTGATGAGGACGATACGGACTTCCTCTCGCCCAGTGGCGGGTGAGTGAGTGATTGCGAGACGTTGACTAGTGGACTCGACTTAAAAAGAAACCCTGCTAGTTCTTGGAAAGGTGGATTTTTACTCAGGCCTTTCCAACTTCCGGAACCAGATCTTTGCTATCTTCTAGTCCTGTAAATCCCTCAAAATCCTGGCAAAGCTAGGGACAGTACAGAACCTGGCTTCCCTGAGGTCTGGACCTGACATCTCCGCTAACTCACAGTAGTGAAAATAGTGGTGGTTAATGACAGTGCTTGTCGTTAAGTCACCAAAGACCGCAAGGAAACTCTTCACTGTTAGAACTAAACTGGTCGATCAGCTCCAGCATCCCTACTAGGGTCATTTCGAATGTCACTGTAATACTTTCCCTATTCCTACAGCCCCGGTCAGAATACATTACTATCCCCACTAGATGTGTTCGCCTCTATTCTTTTATGCATTAACACATAATTATTTCTCGTCAGATCAGAGTAAAGAGAGCTTATTTATTCTTCTGTTGAGGACTTAACATACAGTGAATGGGCAGAAGGTGCCTGTTGAATGAATACTTGAGAAATTGCTCTTTGTAGACGCTAATGCGGAAACCAGTATAAAAAGTGGTTTCCTGCTCCCAAACCCTGATTTTACGTATTCTACTCCGAGGTATCTTGAGTCGGACCCTCCAGCGGGTTTTTAGAAGCAGTCAGTCCCCAGAGGAGATTGACAATCTTTCTCCCACGAAGTAGCTGGTGGATTCGGGCAATTTGTCTTCGGTTTGACAGCACAGAACTCAGAGGAGCACTGGTGGCATAGTGGAAGAAGCTGCCCTGCAGTCTCTAAGACACACAGTTCGAATCCACCAACCCTTCGACGGGAAAAGGATGGGCAATCTCTTACCATGCAATTAACTTCCTGGATTAACAGCGATTAATCCTCTGTGAGGTCAGCTGTGAGTCAGTTCTGACTGTATAGTACACAGCAAGCAACAAGCCACTCAGACTTTGAGATAGGAATATCTAAAGAGAAGCAAGCCTTTACTTTTCCAGTAATGAGTTTAGCTTCCTCTCCGAATCAATGAAAAATTTGATGCCCTCTAAATTTATGAGCTGCTAAGCTATGATATTTGCAGAACCTTTCTTTGGATAGCTCTTTAACAGATTATAAACACACTGGTTAATGAATGAATATGCCAATGCTTGTGCCTAGTTATACTAATTACTAAGGGGTTTATAAAAATGTAACCGTTCCTGTTGTCAGATTGCTTCCAGTCCTGTTGGAAAGTCTGTTGCATGGACAAGGATTAAAAGACACTGACTCTTATTTGTTCTTAAATATAACCTTTTGACTTATATTGTTCTTAACTGTTATCTATCTTTAAGTCCTCTTTTGACTTCTTTAACACTTTGAATCACCATTACCAACCCCCACCCCACATCAGGTGATGTTTATCCACCTATTTCCGCTTTATCCCATGAGAGAAATACAGTTGTTGTTTTTCCCCCCCTTTACTACTTGGGTCCAGTGACACTTAATTTAGGGAAGGCTGAAAGGAATGTTAAGGGAAAGTTAAGGCAAGCAGTCTACTGATGACTCAAAGTTACAGGGTTAATAAAGCCAGTCATGTGCTCTTTCCAGATTCCTAGCCTCATACTTCTCTCCTGAGGACACTCCAAGACCTGAAACACTTTCGTTCAAAGCAAGTGACTGTTCTATTATATGTAGAGAATAGATCCTTTTTAATAATATATAATTTGATGAAAAGGCTTAGCAAAGGAAATTAAACAGATTTTCTCCAGAACAATAACTAGAAAAATAAGGTAAAATTAAGATTAACGAGATACAAGGTTTAGTAGGTATTCTTTAAGGAAGTAAAACTTATGACAGTGAATGCTAGTTTACTTTTGGTTCCTCTTTTGTAAATGTAATTCTTTTCCATTTTTAAAATGTTGCATTTAAAAAGTAAGTTTAAATATCCCTCCTCCCTTCATTTACCCCATTCCTGTGTTTGTCTGTTGTTTGCTGGAAGATCTCACAGAAACACACAACAGGGAAATGACTTACTTGGCCAGTGTTGCAGAGACTAGTGAGTGACGGACCAGGATCCTGTAGACTGTCAGTTGTGATGCTGCTGGAAGTCTTGTGCTCAGAGAGTGAGGATCCCCAAAGATACCCCATCATTGGGCTTCCATGAGTATATATAGGTCTGTAGAGGGGAGGGTTTACATCCCACCCTGATCCCATCTCCTTAATTCAGTAAATCATCACACTATGGGAGGCTATGGACGGGAGGGCCATACTCATTCATTGTACCAGAGTCCTCTACCAAAATTCAGTAGGGAAACCAAAATCTAGACAATCATACTGACCCTGTAGGTCAGAGAATAACTGCCCCCTTAGGGTTCCCAAAGTTGTAAATCTTCACAAAAGGCAAAAGCAAATTGCCACTATTTCTTCTTATAGTGGCTGGTGGGTTTTAATAGCCAGTCTTTCAGTTAACTGCCAAGTGTTTTTTTACCATTTGGTCACCAGGGCTACTTAGAGACAGTTTTCCCTATGTGATAAGAGTGGTTAAAAAAAAAAGGGGGGGGAGCTCTGGTGGCCTAGTGGCAAGAAGCTGCACTGCAGTCCCGGAGGTACATGGTTCGAATCCACCAGATGCTCTGCCGGAGAAGGAGGAGCAATATCCTCCTGTACCAGTCAGATCTGATTTGATGGTACACACACACAAAATAATAATAATAAAAAAAAACAAACAAAAAACAAAAACAAGAGTGATTCATTTTCCCTAAACTTTTTGTTCAAATAAGTGGTTATATTGAACACATACTTTCTTTTGAAAGTATGGAATTTTGATATATGCTTCTCTAAATCTGAATGTGAATCTAAAAATTCACATAAAGACAGACTAGGAAGAAGGATTGGCCATCCACTTCTGAAATAGCAGGCCTCTGAAAACCCTATGTACAACAGAGCACATTTAGATAACAGAAACAGCAAAGGAGGTTTTTTCAAGTATGGAAATACAAAGGAAGAGGAACAGTTGTAAGGAGACACTGGTGATTGGGACATGGAATGTGAGAACCATGAATGTAG